GTCCAGTCCCCTCAAAAGGGACAGAAATAATAAAATAATTTGCATAAAGTCTACATGTACCTTTACTGTTAAAAAACCTTTATGAATTACATGTGAACATGAATTTTTTACTGTTTCTTCAGTCACAGAAATAAAGTCCAGAAAAACATGTTCAGGATAAATCTGAAATATTTCACCTGATCCAAAGCCTAGTTTTCTGATTACATTTCAGATCTTTCAAAAGGAATGTTTAGAAAAGGTCAGTTGTTAAACAAACCTTGCCTTTAACAAACAAAAAAGAAATAAGATTGTTCTTTATAAAATGCTGGTATGAATTATTTAAAATGTTTCTCAAGCCTTCCCTTTTTTTTTTTTACTTTAAACAGTTTGCTAAATTAGACTACCTTCTACAAACTATTTAAGTCTTTACAAAACTACATTTCTGAGACAAAGATATACTATTTGCTCAAAACATGAAATCCCAACACAGCTTTCATATGGACACTGACACTGTTTATGGTGAATTTGGTTTTCCAGCCTGGGTAGGGCTGGCCTCCTTTCTGTCCACCAAATTAGTCTGTTAACTCCTTACACAAACAAGAGGTAAGGTTCAAAAATGTTGTTGCTGACAGTGAAATGAGAAAGGATTGGAATCAGTGTGTGCCCTCTCCTCCCCATTCACACAAATTCTTGCAGTCCCAACAATCTGACTGGAAGGATACAGCATTGGTGGGATTTCAGAACATTTCAGCTAATTCATGGCTGTGATTTACGGAGGGCTGATACTGTCACAGCTCGCCCAGAGAAGGAGCACAGAAAAGGAAAGGGAACACTCACTGGGGCATGCGACAGAGCCTTCAGAGAGCGGTCAGGATATTTCATCTGCCTTGCCCTGGCATTTCTGGGGTACCTCAGTGAAGAGCTTCCCAGACTGAGCAACACATCCCTTTTGGTGCCAGTGTGGGATTTTGCCTCTGAAAGGTGAGGCTGACAAATTGGAACTAATCTGAGACGGTGTGGTACAGTCATCTCGCCTGCAGGGACACATTTCAGCATTCAGCTGCAGAATGCCAGCTTAAGAACAAGCTCTTGATAAAGGAAAGTTCAGGCCAAGCCTGGGGATGTACGACTTTTAAATCAAGAACACTTTTTTTTTCTCCCCTTAGTCTACCCCCTCCTCCCTGGGGATGGCAATATGATAATGCTGTACTGCAAATACAGGGAGAAAAGTTGAGAAATCTCTCTTCACTGCACTAGTTTTCCTTTATTTCCTAAAGCTGTTTCACAGTTTAATCCATCAGAGAGGGTGAGATTAGTGCTATGGAGAAACTCACAAATATTTTTATTTTTGTGCCACGTTTTTTTAAAACTAAAGCTAAAGTTCAAGTCATGCACTACCCTCAGCAAAAGGAGTCTTTCTATTCAGGTGAGAGCTGAGGACAAGTTGCCAGCTAGAAATGCAGGAAAATTATGCTGAAGACTCTCTTTTAGCTGGGTCAAACAATGGCATCTTCCTGGTCAATTTAATTAACAAGCCCATGCAGCATAACTTCATCCATACACTGTAACTTCAAAGCCAGTTACACTTAGAAGTGTAATGATACCAGGCTTTAAAGACTTAAAGGAAAGGGAGAAGGCTGTCTTCCTGTTCTGGGAAAGACTCTGCATCCTTGGCCACAGCAAACAGCAGGTACCTGTCATTATTCTGCATTTCAGGAGGAGCTGGGTATAATCATGCAGCAAGAAAAGGACTTGGAGGGTGATTTTTCCACTGAAAAAAGTGTTTAAAAAACAAAACCAAACAAAGCCTACAAACCTTTTGTTCCAATTGTGTATAGACTTTCTATGCATTCTGAATTAAGGAGCTGCTTAATCTGCCCTGCACATCCCACAAGGCACCTTGTCTTTTCATTCCTAATTGGAATAAAATTGGAATAGGAATAAAAATTCTTAAACTCTTGCATAAACTTGAATAAATCAGTAAAGTCTAGCATCCCATTTCCATGCATCCTGATACACTGAGCTCTGACATCCATTTCCATGACCATTTCTTTTAGAGCTACTTGAATATACATGCAACACATAAACAGCTTTCCTCACAGGTGAGTCTGTGCTTTATACTTGCAGCCCCAAGCTCACTTGTTGCTGGTGATGAAAATTTCACCACATCCAAGTCAGAGTCACAACCCATTTTGTCTGTTCTCTCGAGAATGAGCAGCGGTTTGTGGAAAACAGACAATTCTTGGTGGCATGGTTGCAAATGTGGCTTAAACTCCTAAACCTCAGTTCACAACAACAAAGGAAGGAGGATTTTGGATGAGAGCACAGGACTCACACCCTCAGTCAGTCCTGCATCCCCAAAAATGGCAATGAAGAAAATCTCCCCAGATTAGCTGCTACCATATCACTCTGGCTTGGTGAGTGGTTGCTTCCTGTCCTGGTGCCAGGAGAACAAGTCCATCCCATCCCATCCCATCCCATCCCATCCCTTCTCCCAGAGCTACTGACACTCTCAGGCTCCTCATGGTGCCCACTGTGCCTGGCATTCCAGAGGACAGCCAAGTGCATCCAATAGTGCACTTTGCCAGTTGTGCAAGGCTGTGCACTGGTGGGGTAAAAGAAAATCCTCTCCCACACTGGCAGGAGATCAACTTACAAACTCAAGCATGAGGTTTAATTACCCATTTCATTATCTTAGCTTGCATAGTCTGAATGTGAACCTCCAATGAACCAAAGAAATAGTCACCAGCTGCTGCTTTGAGAAGGAGGGAGATAACAGGAAGAAGTTCAAATGCCTAAAACTGCTCTTGCTGCATGTGGCACCCCTGTTTGCAAAAGCAGGGGGTTATCCCCAGCCAACAGATCTGTGTTAGACCCCACTATGTGGAAAATTCCGAAAGTCCTATTTATGTGCTAATCTGAACAAAGACCAAAAGAGATGAAGCAGAATTATCTAGCCTATCACTGAGAAGCCTCAGAGTTAAATTTTCAAATGCAAGCAAGTGATCCTTAGAGATTTTTTTAGACATTCATCCAGTAAATTCAAGTAAATAAATTGTGATGTGCTTGTGGATTTTGTATGAGCAGGAAATAAAGTGTCTGCTGCAAATTATTCACTCAGCACTAGTTAACTGCAATGCTGGCACATTACTAGCCTTTTTAATATTTTTCTCAAGATAACAGGTAGCATTTTGCTTATTATCCTCATTTTTAAGTTATTAGTTACATTAGGCCATTTGTAAATACAGTGAAGAACTGCAAGAAAATCAAATGGTTTTTTTCAACTAGCTCATTAAAATTCTCTTTAGTTCAGGAGGGCTGAAAATCCTGCATATCATGGAAAGTGAAACCAAGAGTACACCATCAAGCTCAGCAATTCCAAATTAATTCACATGCCCTTTCTCACTACCTGGCTTCCCAAAAGGCTTTTCAAGTTCTGAGCCATATGAATGCCTATAAAAAGCTGCATGTCTCTGAAAAACTATAAATAACAGAGCAGGGGAAAAACCCTACAGGGCAAGTGAACTTAAGGGGAAAACAAAAGCTGCTTAATTGCAACTGGAGTTTGCTTGTGTGCAAGGAACATGGAAGAAAGGAAAGCGATGTAGCACCAGATTCTAGAGCCATTTTGGGGCTTTTTTCCTGCATAGTGACAGATCCTGATAAATTCCTGGTGCTGTCTGATGCCACCACTGTAGTATCACTGTCTGATTTGGGATTTGCCAAGAGCTGGGTGAGGATCAGTGCTGGGTAAATATCACTGCAGCTGGAAGGACACCACCTGGTCTGTGAAGTTTCACTCAGAACACCCAGAACCACTGTGGAAATCACCCCCACAACTCCCTGCTGCTTCAGCTTAGCAATGAACAAAGAAAAGCAGGGATAAGGAGCACAGATCACAGGATCACAAATGCTGGAAAAGACCTCTAAAACCACGGAGTCCAGCCATTAACCCAGCACTGCTAATCCATGTCCCTAAGCACCACACCCACACATTTTTTTATCACTTCCAGGGACAGTGATTCCGCCACTGCCTTGGGCGGCCTGTTCCAATGCCTGACCACCCTTTCAGCAAAGATTTTTTTTTTCCTAATACGTAATCTAAAACTCCCCTGGCAGAACTTGAGGCTGTTTCCTCAATAAAGAGCTGCTAGCAGCCCCATTTTCTGCACCTTCTATCTTCCTCCTCAGTGGTCTCCTCACCCATGCAATAACCCAGCCTTATTCTGCTTAGCAATGCAATACTTAATTATTTCAAAGCTCAAGGTAGCCTGGCTACAAAGTGAATTGTGTTATTTAGTCTTGCACTGTAAGCAAAACCACATGCAGTATATTTCATTTCTCAGGGGCTTCTCCAGAGAACTGTGTGGTACATGTAATTGCCCCCACAAACAAATCATCAGCTAATCAACTGCTTTTCATTATCACCTCCAGCAGCACATTTATTTTGTAAATAAATGCATTAAGAGCAAACAATTTTAGGGAAAACAAAAGATTATCTGAATACGATCTCAACAGAGGAGGTGGTAAAGTAGTAATTCAAATACTGAAATGGAGCAAAATTAGCATAGGGTGGAATGATTATTCCATTCCATGTATTCCTATCTATTACAGTACAATAACAGAGTGAAATCTGTGACTTTAATGGATAATCTGGGTAGTTTAAGGGAGCTGTGATTGACTGACACATTTACATAGAGGCTGATGAGCAGCATAATGAGTGCATTTATGCAACACAGCTAAGGTCTGACTCTAAGCTGACATTAACTCCTACACTTGGGGGAGGCCTGTAGAGCAGATACCCTGCTGTCTTGGAGAGTTGCTCTCTACCTCCTGAAACAAACAAATTCCCTATTTGCCCCTTTCCTAGGTGGGAATTTCAGGAAGAACATGGCCATGTGAGAATCTCCAGTTGAAGAGGAATGAATTGAAACAAGCCATATAAAATGCAATGACAAAACAGTGCAAGGTGTACAAGACAAATATAACAATATTAGGTTCATTCCCCACCTGTACCATACCTGTAATTTCCTAGGTAAACTCCATCAGGATTGAGCATGGGGGCAATCTTGAATACCAGGTGGTCTCTCAGTACTTTTGCAATTGGATGGTGGCTCACGAGGAAATCAATTATACCTGAGAAAAAAAATTAAAAGGAGTTTGAAGAGGGATGTCTGTGACATCAATGATTTCCAGATATCTACTTGAAATTTCACATATAAAGATTAGAATGATGATTCCTCCTGGCTCCTGGCACTGCTCCTGCTTCCAACAGAACAAACCACTTGCAATCACATAGCACCTGCCACCTGCTTAAAACTCCAAGAACTTTAAGGAGAGAAACCTGAATCTGTCATCATAATGCAAGTACACCACAGCTGCATAACCAGAGAGTGTCGAGTTTCCATAGAGGGAGAAGTTACTGCTCATCAGCTAAGCCACCAGAACAAAACCTTTCTGCTCCTAAAGGAGAAATGAAGATACCCCTCACACCAGCCTGCACAGAGTTCATCTTGTGAGTGGAAATTTGTTGAGATGAGCCATCTCAAATCCGTTTCAGCATACACCCAGACCTAGCCATGACATATGCACACAGATTTTAGATCACCTGCACGTGTGAAGAGGAGTAAAATGCCTCACAAAAATTGGGAGAGTGGCATAATATGTGCACTGGGCACAGAAATATTGTGCCAGTGGTGGACTGGAATTTATGAGGTCATATTCTTCACTTCTACACTCATAAAAACCAGGAGTAACTCCACCTCCTCAGCTCCTTTGGTGTGGAACCCAGGCAAGTGATGGGGAAGCAGATCCTAAATGCCCTTCCCAGCACCAGAGCCTGCAGGAGCTCCTTCTTCTTGGCCTCGTCATTGCCTCAGGCCAGGGCTGGTGCTGGGGCAGGAGACAGGAATCTGGCAGTTAAATTCACTGCTCATCCCTCCCTCCACTGAGTTGGTACTGACAGAAATAGCTTCCAGGGAATTAATGTCGAGATAAATTGAGTTCCTGTGTAATCTCAGGACACCCACAGATAGGTCATGACAATTTGCTATTTATTGTAAGGTCCATCCTGTGAAGCAGGAACCATTTACTGAATTTCCCCAGAATAAATCAATCACTACGGTCTAGTAACAGGATAAAATTAAGCAGAGAAAAATTAAGGCTGCTCATCAGTAAAATTTCAGTAATGGTGAGCTCTATTAGAGTGTGGAATTGTCTCTCCAGGGTAAGAGTGGAATCCCATCATCAGAAACATTTAACACTGGACAGGGTAAAGCCTCAGGGAATAGCTATAACAAGCAATAATTCAGCATAGAAGGGATGGCCTGGGCTAACTAGCTGACTTCAGACCTGATTTTTTTGTGGTTCAGTCAAAGTATGAAAAAAGCCTCTAAACCCCATGTTTGTGCCAGGTTAAACACATTTGTTTACAGCTTGGCTGAAACATGCATTAAAGATGAAACTAAAATCTCACATTCTGCATGACTCCTTCGTTCAGCTAATTTCTTAAGGCCCACTTTGTATTTCAAATACCAGAAAGTCTGAAGCTAGGCTGCTGTTGGAATGAATTCTAATTTTCTGAGGCACATGGAGAAAAATGAGGCTTCTGAAATGTCTGAGATGATCAAGGTCTAGTTGACTCTAAACATCAGCAATTTTTTCGTGTCTCAGTGACTAATTCTGAAGAGGAGAGAGGAACTTTCCGTAACCAGGTCCTGCACTCGAGAAGAAACTAAACCTGAATTTCTGAGGCAAATTAGCATATACATAATTATATTTCTCAGGAAATGTTCCTGCAATTACCTCCTCTCGATGAAGGAAACTGAACATCAATCTGCTTTTTGGCTGGTGTTGTGACTTTTGTTCATTATCCAGCAGCAAGAACACGAAGGAACGACGGGGACACAGTTGGATCCTGAATAACCAGATTTCCTAACTGTATGCAAACACAAAAAGCTTAGCTATGTTAAACTGCTGCTCTGACTGTTTCCTGGCAGTGTCTGAAACATAATCCACAGTACTCACACCTGGAGGGCTCAAAATCACTTAAAGGGAAACAACCCCTCACTTGGTCCTTGGTTTCTCAAGACCCTGTGCTGGTTTTAGTTTTGAAGAGCTTGCAGCTTGACTCAACTAGACTCAAACATCACATCATTTGTGTTTTCTGAAACACTTGAAGGAGTTATTCAGAAATCAGTGTGTCCAGAACAAGTTTTATCCCAGGTTAGATAAGGCCCTTCAAGTGGAAATAAAACCAGCACAAATATCGCATCGTGTGCATTGTGGGTCATTCAGCAAAGGCCCTGGCAGCACAGCAGGCAGGCACATCCACAGCTCCTCAGGCAGCAGGGAGGACTGGGAATACCTCAGGGGCAACAGGACTGCTTTTCTTTCAGGAGGTGACACAAGAGCCCAGACTCACAGGGCTCTGCTGTGGCTGTCACGGTGCCAGTGGAGAGGCTTGTCCAGGCTCTGCTCATTCCCCCCGGTACTGCTGCAGCCTCGCTCACAGAGTTTGGCAGCAGCATCTTGGCAGCTGGAAGCTGCAGTTCTCAGCTTCAGCAGGCAGTTACTTTTCCCCAGGAAAGAACATGCAGTGGTGTGGAAGGCTGCACATGAACATGCAGTGGGAGAGGGTCTGCTGTGCCTGATTCATGCTGCGCCCACCTAAAGGATCTTGGGCACCCAGAGCTTGGTGTCAAACATGACCCAGCATCTCCCCAGGCACCCCAGTCTGCTCGGGCTGCTGCAGCCAAGTTACCCATCAAAAGGAGATTTACTCGATTCTCTTACTTAGCAGACAGTCAGTTAAGCCTGAAGAAGCCTTACCCCATTGTGAAAATACCAAGGAAAAGCTAAAAAAAGCTCTCAGAATTCTAACCTGGAAGAGGCAGTTCTAAGGAGCATGAGACAAAAACATACATTTAGATATACAAACCTCACCCTAAAATTATTGTAAGTATCCAAATAATCAATACAACTAGGAAATAGCTTTGTCTTTCAGAGGAACCCAAAAGTTCTGGACTGTCTGAATAGTTGGGATCAATAATGTTTAAAATAAAAAGACAGATATCAGAGTATTAAACAAAAAATACCATTGCCAAGAACTTGGTCCTCCTGTTAATAAATCAATACAAACTAAATTTTACAGCTCCTGTAATCAGCAAGAGACATATCAGTGTATCTCATTAGGCCAGGGTTAAGAATTTGGCAGCAACAAAAGCCCATTTAATATCATTTACTTCAAGGCAGACATGGCAATACAACAGATGCCCTAATTTATTTGTTGATCTTTGTATTAAAATAACAGTTTGCTGGTAAACAGGAAGGGTAATGATGCCAGTCACCCTTGTTAGTGGCTAATAATTGCTTAAATTGTCCACTAATTGACCTGTGGTACTGTTGAAGCACTGGATCATGTTGCAGGGCATGAAGTAAACAGGGCCACTGTAATGTTACTTTAGAGAATGACTTCTGGAAATAGAACTACTTATTGCCATAAATTTTCTTTTCACAGATGAGCAGATTAATTGGTCTGCCAATTAGTCTGCTATTAAAGAAAAAAAAGGGCTGCCCACAGATTGGTTGGATCTTCGAACTGTAGCCCCAGTTTGGGTCAAAGGAAATAATCCAATCTGAACCAGTCACGTCAGCTATGAAAAATAAGACAAGCATTATTTAAAAACACAAACCTCTGTGGCTGGAGATCAAGGAAAACAGCCAAATAATGAAATATTAACTCTTCAAGAGACTTCAAAATGAAATAGAGAATGTGATGGAATGGGTCTACTGAGGCACATTACAGTATGGAAAAGTTCTCCAATTAGAAGAAGCTAAACAATATGGATTATTTTCCTCTCAAGCTTTCTGGAAAGCAATTAAAATCTTTATATTTCAAATAGTAATGTGCAATTATAGATGCTGCCTGGAACCAGAACAGCTCAGAAATCAGCATTCAGCCATGACACAAGAAGAGGCTTATTCATAGTCCACTAAAAATCCACCAAAGTCTTTACATTAACTTCAAGGAGATTTTCATATTTGCAAGCAAAATGGAAGAAAGAATTGAAAACAAAGAAAATGGAAAACAATACTCACAACTGCAAGCATTAGAGACACAACCATATTGACTTAAAAATGTCAGACTGTTAAAAAAACTGATTTCTTGGTAAACCCAGTTTCACTAAACTGCATTAAATCTGGACCAAAACCCTTCTACTCTGAGTCACTTCCTTATCATTATTCTTTCTCAAGGCTGCATGCACTTCTTCAAATTTCTCCTGCCTTCTGCAGCTCAGCAGCTCTCACCTGCTCCAATGTTAGTTCCTGTGGCATCTTTCTGCCCAGCTCAAATTATCTGCTGGTTCTTCTCAAGCAAGTTAATCATTCACTGCTCCATAACATGTCATTTCCACTGTTCTGTCACGACATTTCCTCAACCAACCTACTTAAACTCTGTTTAAACTTCCTGCTGGCTCTAACATGACCTCTCCACATTTGCTCCTTCCAAAGAAAAGCCAGCCTTATCCCCTGCTTTTTCCATTACTCCATCCTTTCACCCTCAGTCTGACAATATATTTAATTGTGCAACTATATAATACATTTGCCCTGCTCCTATTAGTGAAAATCTAATCAGCACAGATCCTAATGCAATATGGCAACTGCTAATGCAAACATACCCTGCACTGTATCTAGTATATGTCAAGAAAGAAGTGATTTATGTTTTCAGACCCATTTCCTAATTCTGAGTAGCTGCTGGTACCCTTCAGTCAGCTCACCCCAGCCTGCAGGTTAAAGAGAATGTGACAATTGGGCTCTAACAGCCATGGGATCTATTCACTGGAAAATAAATGTAAAGGAGTCCCAAATGCTTATGCTCATATGAAACCATTGAAATGTACTGTTAAAGGAGACTGAATCCAATGTGAGTGACACTATAATTATGTTTCAGTGGAGAGTAAGAAAGCAAAAATGTGGGGTTGGGCTTTTTGGAGAGGTTTTTTAAATGTTATAGTGTAAAAAAAAAAAGGTGATAATGGTCAAGCAGTTACAATATCCTGTCTCCAAAAAACAAGAACAATACACAGAATAAATGACAGCAAGCCAGCACTGTGCCTCCATTTGGCTGAGAAATG